ACTCCGATCATAGCCCTCTTCATATCCTGTGGAACAACTTCAAGCATCCTCATACAGCCAACAGTGAAGACCCAGATCATGTCTCAGTTCCATATGTCATCACGGGCAATATGCCCAGGTTGTACACACTTGTTTAAAAGTTTTGAAGAATGTGTCGTAAATGTAATCTGAGTAATGTAAGTCCTAGGTAAACATACTCACTAACAACTTATAGCAAAGTGTTTTCAACAACTACTGGCATAGGTATGACATTGATGTTACACATGACCTTTGTCTTGTCCATGTTCATCTTAACTTCTGTCCGTTGGGAGACATAGAGTTGAAACATAATAATGCTAAGGCCTTCCAGGGATTCTGCTATAATGACCATATGTGCAGCAAATCAAAGGTGAGTGATTGTGGTTGATACCATAGCCTTTCCAGTACAGCAGTGAAGAGTTTTGGGGATATAACATCACACTGAATTACATCTTTCTGTCAACATATTATAAATCTTTTTTAGCTAGTGGGATAGAAGACAATAAGATACCAAAAACCTATTTAAAAAGATAAATTGTATCACATTGTTTATTATTAAACAACAAATATTCTATAATTACAATTACAAATGGTAGACAAATGCGCATTTGCGTCACTGCACTAAACCTATGCCTCTCAAGTAAACAAGGGCCTTATGATGTAAACCTTGTTTGGATGTCGCACACATTCTTTGCGTAATTACATATGTTTTACACATATCAGACTTCCGAGTTCTTTGTTAAGGTGACACTAGTCGACATTATTTCCATAGAAATTTCGGAGGGGTTTTACTCCGCTGTTTGACAGTGTACATCCAAAATTAAACATGATATCGTTTTGTCTCATTATTAAATTTGTCTGTACGGAAACAGAATAGTAAAATAAAATGTTATTAAAAAGTTACGAGCTACCAAAGATTCGTTTTTATTGCCAATTTTAACACAACTTTGGGCGTAAATTAGTAATAAAAGAAGTGTAAAATTTCCAAAACAAAGTCGGTACCGACACAGGTAAATTATCGAAGAACTCAATAAATTTTATTTGTAATTGATTAATGCAGTGGTTTTTTCATAAAACCCCTTCTTCCAAAGGCCTTTTCGTATTTTTTTACGCGCGCATATTACTATGAATTATCGTGCATCTCACTGAATAATGTCTCCCCCGGTGCGGTGCGGGAGGACGATGCTTACACACACATGCACAGGCGGTGACGCGCGCTTATAAGTATTCGAGTTTTATTCGAAACGAAAAGTTTTGCTATTTTGTAATTTGGACGCCAAAGACAAAAGACGGCATGGAAATTGATATAATTGAAAGAGATGATGCGTTTTGGACGACAGACAATATTTTAAAATTTTCGTCTGTAATATAATATAATTATAAAAGTAAAAAAAGTAAAGTCTATATTCGATTACTATATAAAATTGCAACAATTTCATTGGTGCCGACGGGGATCGAACCCGGGTTGCTCGCGTAATGTGATACTTACAGCGAGCGCTAACCATCTGAGCTACCACGGCTCTCAATGCAAGTGTTATAAATAAATAAAGAATTACAAAACAGTTTAATTATTTATTAGACGACTTTTGCGGCGGATAAACAAAGTATATTATGTGGGATTTTCATAGGTACCTACTGTTATTACCTAGATACCTACAATCAACAATACAACAAAATGTCACAAAACCTCGCCGCGTCGTGGCCACAAAATTGTAAACTTTAGGTAGGTACGTCGGTACTAAGAAAACAATCTTGATGGGTCACTTGTCTTGATAAAAACCTGTGTTTACGTTTAGTGATATTGAGTATATATAAAAAAATAAGAAGCCAGGTAAGTAAGTATTTTTGAAAACAATTTATAGGTAGGCAGACCAATTACGATTATTATCTAAATATTATAAATGCGAAAGTTGGGATATTTGGATGGACGGATGAATGGATGTATGTTACTCAATCACGCCAGAACGGCTGAAGGGATCTGGATGATATTTTGCTCAGAGATAGGCTATAGTCCGAAATTTTTTTTTCAAAAAAACTTTACCCCACACTAGGATTTTCTCCTGTATCGTGGAGGCAGTTTACAAACATCCAGACCCGGAACAATTATTTGTAGACCATACAAATACTTGTTCGATTGATTCGAACCCGCGGCTCCCAGTACAACAATTCATTGCTAAGCCACTGCGCCACGGAGCTGCCAAATATCATATATGATACCGTTTATTCAGATATTTCGTTGCCGTGGGATAATTATCGAGTTACACACGTTCGAAGCCGAACTCTTGAGTGATTGCTGCATGACCACTCGGGGAAAACTAAACATAATAAAATAAGCAATCTATATTAGGTATATAGAGCCACAGACGTATACCTAATAATTTCGTGGATTCACCCGCGTCATCACGTGTCCGAGATGCGTGGCATGACATGACACCTAGTTCCAGCATTTTATAATTGCAATCAAATATTTTATTTGATTGTAATATATGGAAAAATTGTCATGATTAATGGAGTACTTTTATTTTATCTGTCGGCATATTATGCGCGGTTTTTTCCAGTTTTAAAGAAAAACGTACACGATTCATGAAAAGTGTGTTGGCAAGAAATGATTCTTGATAAATTTGCTATCAACCTCTTATACTTATTAATTAATTAAATTTAAACTTTCAAAATACCATAGCAACGTGAAATTAAAGAGTTCAGAAATAAAGATGTAACTAATCATTCATACGGTCACCCGGGAGATAGATAAAAGTACTCAATTAATTTTGAATTTATTTTAGCTACTAGCTGTACCCCGCGACTTCGTCCGCGTTTAGTTTAGGGCGTTAATATTGTTGCAAAGACACCTAATAATTTTTCTAAAATTTAAGCAGGCTAAGTTACTTCTTATAACATGAGCTATCTAATAGTGAAAGTCCCGCCCAAGTCGGTCCAGCCGTTTTGGAAATTAACCGCAACAAACAGACTGACAGACATACAAAAATGTTAAAAATTGTGTTAATGTTATAAGTACCGTATACAGTTTCATACGCAATTAGTAAAAAGCTGTTATTTTGACATTATAACAGACACTTCAATTTTATTTATTTGTGTATATATAGATAACGATTGAACTAACGGCTAACCTAACCGCGCTCATAGAAGCTTTCAATACTGGCTTCTCAGTTCGCACCGGGCTAGGGGTTATGCGTTGTTTGCGCGTCAAGCCAAGTAGGTATTGAATTATTTTAATTTTACATTATTTCTTAAACTATGTACTATATAAACATGGTATAAAGAACGAAGTTTATCTTCATAAAATTGTCTTGATAATGAAGTAACTTTGGTTCGTAAGGTGCCTAATAATTAAATTTTCATTTTTTTGTCACAAAATGCCTAATTGTGGCTTATATATAAGAAATAGACATATGGTATCGCGGACTTTTTTTAGACGGAGTAAAGATCTATATTTTTCTAGAACATTGTATTTACGTATCCCGAACCATAACAGCGCTTTTTCTTCTGACTTCCTATATATAGCCTAATGCTGTATAGCCTATACTATTCAACATGAATCTGGCTATAATATCCAAAAAAAGATTTTTCAAATCGGACTGGTAGTTCCAGAGATTAGCACGTTTAAACAAACAAAAACCCTCTTCTGCTTTATTATATTAGTATAGATGTTGCATCGTGTTCGTGTAACTTCGTTTTTATTCTAACGGTTCGGAACACCGTACGAACAAGACATGCGTGAATACTAGTGTCGATATGCTCATCACTGATACTATCTCTGTCGGGCACGATGCCAGGTGAGACAGCGTGCTTTTTGGCCGCGCCCACCAGCGAGTTCGAGCCCGCGACTTGTGCCACCTTAAGGAAATTGGTTGAATATTCGAATTAGTTAATACCTGTATAAAAGAATTTAGATTTCAAAAAGTACCACCACAAGATATTGTAAAATATTTCAAACCATTGATGTAAATAGATTTATGGGGAATGTCTGTTAAAGTTCTTGCATCTATACAAATAAATACAATTGAATTGTCTGTTTGTAAAGTCGAAATAACTGGCACTGGCAGATAGCTGATATCATAAGGAGTAACTTAGGTTACTTTTATTTTAGAAAAAGAATTAGGGTTCCGTGCAAAAAAATAAAAACCCTAACATGCGCGCGAAGTCGCGGCGAACACCTAGTCTATAATAGATTTAATTGCGCAATAGCTATTTTATTTAATATCTAAAAAATCGAATCTGGTGTTAAATGATTTAGTGAAACAGTAAATTAATTTCTTTATTTAAAATCTAGTAGTAAGTACACAGTACCACTAATTTTGGATCCATTTCTGTACTGCCAACACTCAGTGGTAGATAATAATTGACTTTCAATAAGTATTATGGAATAATCTCTATTTAATAAAAATTATTATATTGTAGTCAGTAAAATTTTTATAACAATAATTTTGAATCATTTTTAATACAAATACACCAGGTAACTAAAGTTTTGTTACCAGTTACGAGAATAGATTATTTTTACTTGTACATTACCAGTTATGAAGGATTTATTCTACTTTGTATGAAACAATGTAAGAGGTGACAATATAAGAATTATTTTTACTTATACAAAACCTAGTTTTGATAGAAAAAATATGCTATTGCTATTCAAATAGTGCCAGCATTTCAAATACTTTTTAGGATACTATTAAATTAAAGCCAAACAGAAGCTGCTTCTGCACTACTCTACAGCTGATAATAATTTAAAAACTGCAGTAGCCTAATGGTTAAGGATAATATAGATTGTGAGAAGCAAAAGTCATGGATTTAATTCCCTCAATTTACTACTGTCCACTCCAGGATAATTTTAAGCTTAGAATAAAAATAATGGGGAGTATTAATAGTGTTATCACTCCTAGTAAATAAAAAAAGAACAGCAGCAGACAAGATCTATTTTAATCACTATGTTATTTACTTTATCTTTATATTTTATTTATCTTACATAGGTACAAGTGATAGTGGATCAGCTTTGGTCAGATGATATTGAAGTAACATCGATTGGTCCTGGAGAGAATGTAAAAGTCAAGCTTAAAGGAATTGAAGAAGAGGATGTTTCACCTGGTTTCGTATTATGTGACACTGTAGAGCCTATTACTACTGGAAGAGTAAGACCACCATTAAATATTATTTAATATTTTTCTAAATTGTTATTTTCTTATCTAAAAGTCAACATGTTAAAATAAGTCATTAAGAAAAAAGGTGACTAGAACTTTTAACTTAACTGGAATAATTATCTATACTTATGCCATGTATGTATGTGTAGTGTATAACATAACATAATAATGCAATGTAAGAACTCTTCTTATTTCGATTCCTTTTTGGCACTCAGGTTGCATTTGTAATATGACTGATATATCCTGGAATTATAGTTAATAGATAATCGATAAAGAATACCAGTGTTTAAATAACCATTGATATTCTTTATTTTGCATTTTGATTCGGATTCGTAATTGAGGATAGATGAGGAGTCTACGGCCCACAGCGTATGCTTAATGTGCACTCTATAATTCTTATAGCTTTAGAGCTGGACACCACTTTGCCTGACTTTTATACAAAACCTATTATAGCCTTGTATTTAATATACAAGCCTATAATAAATAGGTTTTGTGTATTCTCGAATTGAGAAAAATGTAAAACAAGATTAGGAATTTTATTTTAATTTTACACATTTTTATAAACGGAATGAAAATTATTAGGTGACTCTGGTTGTTGCACATACTTACCAGGTGAGCCCAAAGTTGTCGGGAAAGGTAGTAAGTAGTGTTTCGTAACGTAACAATTTATATATGAGAAAATATACATGCTACTTAAAATATCGAATGCCGACCATGGGATAGGTCGTTATAAAGTTTATTTAAGCACAGGTGTAGTCATTTATGAAGATCAGAAATGACTCAGTTATGATACATCCAAGTAACTTTTTGTGCTACACCTGTTACAAAAATCGAATAAAAACTATCGATTTGGAGAAATAAATACATATTTGTATATTTTTAATAAATTATTTTGAAATGTACTTAATCATATTTCCGTTACAAATATTTAATTCAACTAATCAACTGGTGACTTATTACTGACATTTTTACTATCGTCCAAGCGTGAAACATTCGCCAATCTTGAAACATACGACTTACGCGACTCTTATTTGTAAGAATGACCATTGTATTTATGTTTCCACAGGTATTTGATGCTCAAGTCGTCATTTTAGAGCACAAATCCATTATTTGTGCAGGATACTCGGCTGTTATGCACATACATTGTGCTGCTGAAGAGGTTACTGTTAAGGTAAAAACTTATTTGTGAGCCATATCTCTATAAAATAGAAGCTTAATGCTGCTGTGTTTCATATGGTGACTGTAGAAGACTGGAGATCCTTTTTACTAGAAAAGAGGCATTCCATCTTAGTCCTCACAGATGACAATCTGCATTTTGATTTGCAAGATTTGCAAACGAGAATAGATGTAGATGTCTATGGGCCACAGCAACCACTTACCATCAGGTGGACTGTTTGCTCGCTTGTTACCCTTATCCGACGAAAAAAAAAGTAATGTAGAGCCGTAGTAGCTGTGTGGCTCAGCGCTCGCTGTAAATTTCACAGTATGTGAGCAACCTGGGTTCGATCCCCGCCAGTACCAATGAAATTGTTAATTGCAATTTTAAGTGCTGATTTACCACGTGCTCGACGGTGAAGGAAAACATCGTGAGGAAACCTGCATGTCTGTGAATAAACTAAAATATATTTCGAAAACGCATTGTTGTAATGCGGCAGACACTTTTTGCCCTAATACGCTCTCAAAAAATGAGTGTGCCCAGCTGTGGGACGTATAAAGGCTGTAGCTGTAACTCTGTCTGTCTGGGTATTTCTGACTGCCAATTACCAGAACCCATAAGATCTTGCTTGCATTTTCCAAATTTGACTCTTAGAACAATCACGGGACGAAAAGGTAAAGAATTCTGCAACGCCACCACAAGGCGATAGTAAATTTAGGTTTTTTTGTCAAGGAGATGCAATGCCGATTAACAAACTATTTAGATTGCTTGTTTCTCTTTCGTTTGGAAGTTTTCTATTAATTATTTTTAAAATTTGAGGAAAAAAATTAATGTAGTAAGAATGAATGTATGTAAATCAAATTATACTAATAACAGTACTATAATAGTTTTTCCATTTTATGTGCAGGCTCTAATCTGTTTGGTAGACAAGAAGACTGGTGAGAAATCGAAGACACGACCGCGTTTCGTGAAGCAAGACCAAGTAGCAATTATGAGGATAGAATGTGCTGGAATCATTTGTCTAGAACCATTTAAAAAATTTGCTCAAATGGGCAGATTCACATTAAGAGATGAAAGTAAGTGTTATACAATTACTTAATAATTTTACCTTAAAAAATGTTTTACAGTCTGTTATTATACCATACTAAGAATAACTATAAGTAAAACTTACAATTCTAATTTCAGATAAAACAATTGCGATTGGCAAAGTCTTGAAAGTGATAGAGTAAATTTGGCCGTACAGTTGTAATTTAGCTAGGATAGGCCTTTCCAAAACCAGAGATCATCAGAGAATGCGTGTTATATGTAATCCTAATTTTTGGGATATATGCAAAGAGCTCGAGTGTACTGCTTCATCATCAATCTTTTCTGGGTTATTAGAATAGCTAGATGAAATGCAAGATGGAACCGTCAAATGCCACTACTGTAACTGAAGTTAAATATTGCAAAATAAACCTACGTCGTATTTACACAGCTGTTTATAAAAATTTATTTTAATCTAAAATGTATATTATTTGTCAACATGTTCCTTAAAAAACAACTTAAAATACTTCAGTGGTGAGCTCAGTTTCTTTCTTTTTTTTTTTTGAGAAGGGAGGTGTATGTTTTCTTAAAACTCAATCTATTTTAAATTTAAAGCGTAAAAGATTTCCATTCATTCTTGCTTTGCTTTTGTATATTATGTGAGAAATATACGATTGTTAACCATAAAGTTACTGTATTCTGCTATTAGAAGATATGTATAAAATTGATCAGTTTTCAAGCATTTTATACATTTTAAAAAGAAAATGTGTTAATTGTTCTTGATCGTTGTTTTAATTCTCTTATGCTTTCCTCTTATACAATTATTTCATTCATATTGGTTTGCACCGCATGCAGGACGATTTAAATAAAACCATCTCGTAGGCAAAAGTTAATTAAACTCACTAGAGGCCGAGTGTCCTGTGTATTTCAGTCCGCCAAATAGCCTCACGATGAACTATATCTTAAATTCGACATTTTAATTGGCTTAAGACACGCACGCTTAAATTACACAAACTCGGTGCGCTTATGAATTGATTATTTATTTGTAGTATAATTTTGATCTCTATTAATATTTATGACTTAATATGACATATGAATAAAGGTTTATTTACATGTTGTAAAAGAAGTTAACCTTTTGAAAAAACAAATGTGCCTACAATGGTGAATAATAGTCTAAATAATTGCATATCTTATTTATCAAGAAATGGCGTATGAGCAAAGCAATTGCAGTAAATAGTGTATAGTTAATCAGTGCACACTGAAATCTGAGAGTTCTATTTTTATAAAATTTCCTTGATGAATAATTGATACTTAAAATATGCTTACATTATTACTTGACGGTATGGCATGTTCTTCCTAAAAGTACGTAATTTTAAAGCATTTTGCGATTGTATGATGAATGAAGCTCTTGTATTCACTGTTAGGATGATAAATTGCTTATGTACATACATATAATATGGTCTTTGGTCATTAATGTTACGATAATAAAACTATTAGATTGACGCTAAAAGCAATTATGTAAAAAAAAGTTTTGTTAATCATCCTAACAGTATTTAGGGTCTATCTGCATATATTTTCACTTACAACCATTATAAGTAATGTTCATAATACTGTTCTGTATTAAAAAAACAAGATCATATATAAAATACGAGGGTGGATTGAAAAGTACTCGGCCTAACCAAGAAAATAAACAAATACTAAATCAGTTATATTTTTATTTTTCTACATAATCACCATCAAGTTCAATACACTTTTGCCACCTCCCCTTCCAAGCATTTAGACCGTTGAAAAAAAATGATTCTTCCTTAGAGTCAAAATATGCGTCTACAGCTGCTTTGACCTCGTCGTTTGTCGAAAATCTTTGACCTCCCAAGTGCTTTTTTAGGTTAGGGAACAGAAAGAAGTCTAATGGTGCCAGATCAGGTGAATACGGCGGATGCGGTAACAGTTCAAAGCCACAGTTGTGAATTTCAGCCATTGACTGTACTGACGTGTGAACACGGGCGTTATCTTGATGAAACAGGACTTTTCTTCTGAGCATTCCTCGACGTTTTTCTTTTATTTCCTCTCGTAAACGACGTAGTAAGGTGCAGTAGTAATCAGAGTTTATATTCCGACCCCTTTCAAGATAATCAATCATAATCACACCTTTCGAGTCCCAGAATACTGAAGCCATCACCTTATTTGCCTACAAAATCGACTTAGCCTTTTTAGGGGGTGGTGAACCAGGTCTTCTCCACTGTTTTGATTGTTGTTTTTTTTCCGGTGTACAGTAATGAACCCATGTTTCGTCCATAGTAACAAAACGATTCAAAAAATCATCTGCATCGGCTTCAAATAACTCCAAACAGTCGCGTGAAATAGTCAATCGCGTCCTTTTTTGTTCAACTGAAAGCAGTCGCGGAACCCACCTCGCAGACACCTTGTGGAAACCCAACTCGTTGACAATGATGTTTTGAGTTCATTCATAAGAGATGCCTATAATCTCGGCTATCTCTCTAATTTTTAATCTGCGGTCTCCCATTATTAAATCAAGTACTTTTTTAATATTTTCGTCAGTAGTTGACGTCGAAGGCCTTCCAGAGCGGGGTTCATCTTTCACACTCTCTACCACGCTTAAATTCTGCTATCCATTTTTTGACGGATGAATATGACAGAGCACAATCGCCTAATGTACTGACCATGTCATCATGGATGGCTTTTGATGATAGCCCCTTCTTATGGAGGTACTTAATGACGGCACGCTGCTCGATTTGCTCCGTTCGCGGAAATTATGTCCGATTACTTTGTTAATAAATTTATAAAATCACAACTAATTATCGCACACGTTTCGAACTTCACACAATGAACTAGTCTGAACTGAACTAAATAATGTGGATAGATTCGATTTTTAGAATTGAATGGATCTGTGTTAGGCCGAGTACTTTTCAATCCACCCTCGTAATTTGCTATGTTAACATAGAGATTGATTTCACTTATAACTAAAACTATATTTGCAAAATGTCAACACATTTTGCTCATCATGTATGTTCATAATGTCAGTTACTTGCAATTTTTTTTATATATATAAATATTAATATTATAATAGAAATAATTTATTGCTATGATATAACATCATACATTGGCGGAGCTGTATGGTTTACATTGCTACAAGACAACATAGTTTATCGCAGGGATCAATAATCACGCAGCGCCTACCCTTGTGCGTAAATTTTTACAACAGGTTCTGTCTCAAAATTTTCTTACTATTTACAAGGAATCATTCACGTAGGAACACATAGAGTACTTATGGCAAAACATACTGACCATGGCAAACATATATACACGTTCAAGAAAAAAATATTTTTACCGTGTCGGGTCAATCTCCGAATTGTTATAAATTGTATATTGTGGATTTATAAATTTCCAGCTTTTTCAATATTATCAGTTTTAAGGATAGAGGCGAATTGTATTATAATATTATTAACAATATTTTGTGTATATCAGTGGGGTAAAAAGTGAGGCGTACGTAGCACCCCGTTAGGTATGACCCGTGCCATGGTTTATTTGTCAACATGCTTGTAGCGGAGTATAGGGCGCGGAGGGGTCCGCGTCGTAGTGCCTTTTCTGTTTCCGCCGGGGGCCGCGTGCGCCTCGGCACCGAGCGAGCACTGGCAGGCTGCGACTATATTATTTTGTTTAAAATAAAATAAAATAAAATTTTATTAAAACCGCAACAACTTCACTAACCGACTAAGCTAATTAGACGACTAGCAAATTACTCTAATTTCTAAACACTCGCAACAATAATCTATTGATGATGTGTATGGTACTAAGACGTAAGACGATCGCTGTACCTGTGGAGAGAAGCGGATTATGAGCAGCATTCCATCCATTCGTCTACTTAGCTTAATCGAGCTAGTACTTTACTTTTGTGTACCATATCCAACAATCCATTTTAGTTTCCTTTTCAATTTTCCAACTGTCGATGTTCTTTCATTTATCGTTTTAATCCCTTATCGTCATGAAGGTAAATCCTGGTCAATGCGACTGCGGAGCCAAATTTTTCAAGAAACGCTTCTTTTTAGCGACGTTAAAATTTTGACACTGCAATGGATATTCGCAGACAGTCGTAAAGTTTAACGGAAGAAAGACTGTTCACAATCTATTATAATTTTGAACCCGAACGCCCCAATGTTATTTTGACTACTAATATTTGTATTATGTAATAGTAGATACAGCCACATTTTAATACTTATATTGGTTACTACGTAAAATCATTACTATCATTTAAAACGAAAATACCTGCAAAAATGTGTGTAAGGTATTAGCGCTGTTATTACATACTTCAGAGCGCGATGAGTTGTAAGCTGGCGTAGCGATGAGCTGTAAGCTGGCGTAGCGATGGCGCCCGATGTACCTATACAGATATCCTTAAGGTGAAAGCGTGCGTTTTTTTGGAATTTGCATGTCAGGGTCAGGTTGAATGTTTAACCCTTATTCAAACGCGAGCCTGTGAAGGAGTTAACCAAAAAGTAAGATCCATTCCTGGGTAACTTTAGGCCGTAGAGTTCAAAAATAAACAGAAAAGAGGGGGTAATGGGGGGAAGTACCCCTTTTTTGGTGGGAAGTATATATCCCGATATCCGTTCCTGCCCTGGTCCAAAATGATAAAAGTGGGAACTATAGCTCCCATTGCCCTGTATGACATTAATTAAATAACACTAGTTAGTTGCCCTTGCTTCACTTGTGAAATAAATTTTAACTCAAAATCGTATATAAATTGTGTTTTTTTTTAATAAAGGAGGTAAAAATACTAATCAATGCATGACCCTTGCAGTGATTAGTTGTTCGATGCTATTGTCTTTTACTTAGGGAAGAACTAAATTGAAAAAAAATAGACTTCCCCGTATATTTTTAGTCGAGTAGGTATGTAATTTAGTATGCAGTAACTAATTTTACTTCCACGACTTATAAATAGTTTTTTATTAAAAGTTACTTGTATTGGTGAATACTTACACCTTTTGGCTTTTGGGAAATTAATAAAACAAATTATTATTATAGAAGTTCTCTTTATTCGTATATATTTGGTTACTAATCTAATTACGTGTTAGGAACTGTTTCTATCACATTAATCAGTCTTCTTCCGTGTCTTTTATTTCCCATTTAATAAATAATCAAAGTAATTCTAGGCTATTCTGTTGCAGTGGTATTAAAGTTTTGAAAGCATCTTTTGATGCATAGAGGCACGGTGCAAGTGGAGCACATAAATTTGGTTCTTTTCTTCTGTTTTTTTGTGCTGCAGAACCGGCATCTCTTGTGTTACTTTCTTGGGGCATGTGTGTACCTATATTCAATAAACGAATTTCTTCCGGCACTTCGAATACCCTCCCCCCCCCCCTTTCTTGCTTGTAAAGGGTACACTTGGGCGTGTTTTTTTTTTGTGAATAATTGTTTATTAGCGCACGTGCCAAACGCAGTCTAAATTCACGGTGTGAATGTGCTGTTACAGCGTGTGTTGCACTGTACGTTATATATGAGTTAATGATGGATGCATCAAACATGAAAAAGAATAGACGCATCCAAAACTTTCGAGATTTCCGGTTGATTGAGTAAGAGGACCTGTAATGATCAAATAGATCCACCCCGCCCATGCTCATTGTGTAAGAAGCAATTGCTTTCGGGCAAAGAACTTCTGCTCTTGAACCATCTTTTTGAGTTCTTTTCACATACATAATGTCCAATGGTTGATGTGCTGTGGTAAGCAATGTGACTTCTTTTGTGTCAAGCCATTTTATTGCTGTGATAGGTTCTGATGTCAATGCCGAGAATTCATGTTTGTTTAGTCGTAACGGTTTTGGTTGTTTCTTCATCGTTTCTGGGAGGTCTTTTCGATTTGATCTTACTGTTCCTACAGCATAAATATGTTTATCATATAGCTGTTCCAGTAAATTACAACCAGTGAAGAAATTATCAAACACTACTAGTGTATTCATGGGGAGATTGTTGCCGAGTTTCATCACGACATTGTAGCCCAGACCTTCATTCTCAATACTATCACCCTTTCCAGTATATATTTCAAATTGGTGTAAGTACCCAGTTTTGACGTCACATCTGGCCCATATTTTGAACCCCCTCTTAATAGGTTTTTTGGGCATGTATTGTTTCAATGAACACCTACCTTTAAACTTAACCATACATTCATCAATTGACTGTACACTTGAATTGTATGCCTCATTCTGATACACTTCATTTAATGTTGTGATCAAAGGTCTTAATATGAATAATTTGTCGTAATTTGTTGAATCTCTTGCTATATATTGCTCTCGATGCTATTGTCATTAAGATGTAGATTTTCTGTTATTTTCTTAAATTTAGAAATTATTATAGAAGGAATCACTTGACCAATAAAGCTCCATGTCTGGTAATGGATTTAAGCCCATTAGGATAAGAATATCTAAATATGCTTTGATGTCATCTTCATTGACTTGAACCCAGTTTTTACTATTTTTGTAGTGGACATATCTGTTTGTTCAACAATTACTTGTATTAAATAATCCGGAAAGAAATTTTCAAAAATGGTTATTGGTTGAGTTTTATGGTTATATTCAGATTTAGGTTGAAATTTTTTGTCAAAGTTTTGGAGTGTTGTGCGTGGTTCTACATAGTTTCCATATTCGTGGCTGAGATCTATTTTTTGCACTATAGAACTCAGTGGAGTTTGCAAATCCTCCTCTCTAACTAAATTTTATTCTATGTTACTGACAAGTTGCTCAACATGTTCAGAAATGACTTCTTGTTGAAGGGGATCATCGGTGGAGGCATTTTCTGGAATTGTATCTAGTCATATTTCATGCTCAATTGATACTGGTAAATCACTCAGAAATAAAATTTTATGCCCCTACGTGTATTTCAAAATTAGCACTAGCACGATAAACGTAGTGATTATATTCTCTTTGGATGATAGATGTTTTCTAAAATATTACATTAGGTGTTACCATATAAAAATAAAATACGATTTTCTTCAATCTGACAGGTGGGAACTATAGCTCCCAGCGTTTTAATAAGGGTTAATAAAATATGATTCTCGACCGTAACGAGTATGTGTTTATAGAATTATTATCATTAAAATCGCCAATACAACCCTCTACGTTCATATAATCCCTTTGAATAAGTTTTTCTGGAAATAGCCATACATTGGAATTATACGAACATTTGTAACGGTTGTATTGATGATTATAATGATTATAATTCTGTAAATACATACTCGTTACGGTCGCGAATCATATTTTGTTAAACATACAACCTGACACTGACCTGCAAATTGCAAAAAACGTAAGAAAATTTGAATTTCGCGGACTACCCTGGCGCTTCCACCTTAAGTTCTTTCATTCACCGATAAGTGGTAAATCAGCGCAATTTCATTGTTACCAGCCATCAAAGAGATTTAAATATATAGGTATACTATAGAGCGGACATAGAGAACGTTTTCATACAAAAACTGAGCTCGCGCGTGTGTTACGCCCACTAGCTAAACAGCAAAACTACGTAGAATATTTATTAGGAACATTTCAGCTATTTCCCAGTAGATGACACTACTAAATGTAGGGTAGAATAGAAAACCCGTTTTAGGAATATTACCGTTTTGACATCAAAGTATCGATAATATTGTTGAAGGTTACTAAGCTTGGAATATGCATGCTTTTTTATTTATAAATCTATTAACCGTTTCGTTGCGGCACCAATTTTCGAAAACTTTTAGCTGTGGCGGCGAACAAATATTTCATGACACGTCGGGCGTGTCAAGCGCCACAGACAAAAATGACACGCCTATTGTGCCATCCGCCATGTGTAAAAGTAATGTTCTTTTTTATGCTTTTTTTACTTGTTTAGACCTAATTAAGTTTATTTGACATCAAACAAAGTTACAGATGGAAGGATACTTGTTTTTAGTGGGTAACTACGTGTTTTTTACGCGTTTTCTTTCAAATTGAGAGTAAGTGACTTTTTTCATAAAGAGATATATATAAAAAATAGTACCAACCTTTTGTACTATTTTTTGTTTTATAAAAAAATCATTTATATAAGTAGGTACAGCTAAATCACCTTGGAAAACGTTGTTTATACTAAATTAAATTTCACCTAATAAAAACATTTGTAAATATCAAACAATCAAGAACCTTAATTTGAAAAAAAAGGTTCATGATTCATTGATATTTACAAATGTTAAATATTATTTAATGTTATACAAATGTAAAAGTAAGGTCGATCTAAAAACGTCTAATTAGTAAGAATAGCAAAAGAAGTGTTTTCAAAATGAAAAAACGCCGGCGCTATACGGCGGCGGATTGACAAAAGACTATTTATTAGCGAACTTTTTTTATGCATGAACGGTTTCGAACTGTTTCAAGCAAAAATAAACCTTATACCATATCACAAGAGCACATGGTACTTCGTAGGTCTATTCGGCCATATGATAGTAATAAGATGGCAGTTCAACCATTTTAAGCAAAATTAAACAATAAAACAAACGCATTGTTTTTTTTAACAGGAGACTTGTTTTCCAGAAATTTATTTACAACTTGAGTTTGTAAGCGATCGCAATGAGTGCTATTATTTGTTACTTATTAGACAATTTTTCCATAACATGATTTAAAACGCACAAAGTAAAAATAGTACCATGTACACGTTAAAAAAGGTTGTCAACCCCTAAAAATTTCAAATTTTCAAAATATCCAGAAACGAAGCTGCATGGATGAACTACTCGCAAAATAATGAATGTTTTGTTCTGGATAAATTTTTCAAAAAAGCAATTTGTGCGAGTTATAACAATTTTAAAAAAAGACACGACTCGCGTGTCATACGCCACACACAAAAGTAATCGATGGCACGCCTGTCGTGTCACCCGCACTGAACCGGTTAACTATGACTCCCAGCACACTAATAAAATTCACTTAAAGGTTTTAAGTTATGAATAACATCATGAATCAAATGAAATGTCATGAAATATAATATTTAATTTCCAATAACTAAGAACCAATTCAAACAGCAGTCACATTGGCAGTATCTTGGATGACGTCACTAGGTCTATTAGACGCTATAATAATAGCATATGATCGGTCGGCGTCGAAGGCACATCGCGAAAAATCAAATCAAATAAGAGAGCGCCTCCGTGTTTTTCAAATTCGTTTTTTTTTTACAAAAATACACTTTAAATCTAATATATTTTAGGGAAGCATTGAACTTAAAGGTCGTTACTAAATAAATTATTATAAAAATTCACACATTTGCGCGTTTACCGTTAAAAAGAACACATTTGTCGTATCTCTTCAATTTCAGAGCACTTCCCTTGTTGCAGTAGCCCATAGCAGAATCTTTGGCGTCGACATATCAAATGACCTTGCAGTAGCATGGTCACTTGGAAGAGAAAGCTAAATTGGCTTCTAAAAAGCTTGGAGTACTCAGTAGATCGGAACACTAACGTGAACAAAAGAGCGACCGTTTGCAACTTTACAAGCGCAGGTTCGGCCTCAGATGGAATACTTTTCTCATCTCTGGACCCCAATGCGAGCTCCTCCTGACTGCAGAGCGGCTCGAATCGTCGACGACCGAGTTATCTTTGATTGGCTCGATTTTTTATCGTATTTAACACGGAGAGTGCTCTGAGGAATTGTTCGGATTAATTCCAGCCACCAAATTTTACCAATACACATCGTGACAAAACTTAAGTTATCATCCATATCATTTGGATGCTTGGCGGGCAGTCCACTACCGTACGATTTATTAGGAGATTTCTTAGGAATTGTTTACCAACGGCAATTTTTATGGACCTATACGGTTTATAGACCTCCAAGAAACGAGCTTACTCCTTTTTAATAGGCCAGCAACGCATCTGCAACTCTCCTGGTGTTGTAGAATTATATATTTTTTTTAAAAAGGCTATCTTGTTGACTGGTTGTACTGGCTCACATAGATGTTTCGTGTTAAAACCAACAACCGAGTGCCCCAATACAGGCCCAGACATTTTCTTTATTGGTACCGGTACAGTATCGTTTACTGCTTCACCTCCTTAAATATTGTAGATGATTAAATCGGCATACGGTATAATTTTTTTATCGATAACAATAATCGATAAACGTTGTCAATCACTAACTCTTTGGTAAATAAATCATGACGTTACTGGATAGCAGAGGGCGCTTATTATAATAATGTTACATTTTGTAGAACAATCTACCAGAAATAATTAAATTCAAAAATTATTGGGTAAATATACATTATCCTTGCGATAATAAACCGAAAACACATTCAGTTTTTGCTCCATATCGGGACTTACAATACCTTAATGCAAAACCGGGCATATTTTCTATAAAAAATATTTTTTAAACTTAGGAAACGAATGCGTCTTCAGCTTTTAACGATGTCACTAAGACTAAATGACACAAATCCGAAATATATCCTATAGGACATAAGTTAGAGGTGACAATTTTGTTGCTGATGTCCGGTCTATTACTACTACTTAAATGTCTTTGCCAGCCATAGAACAACACGGACCACCGGCGGACAGGAGGCGTGTAACCATATGCAGGCGATCCCCTCTGTAGTATCCTCTTAGTACTCTGTGCCCTCTGTCAAAGTATAATAAGTAGCGTCCGACCGAAACAGGATTTTTAACCGAAACCAAAACATTTTTTTTGTTGTATACTGAAATTTATGTTTTTTATACATATACGGATAGGTAATGCATGTTAATGAAAAACAGTAATTGTAACAGTCATGTACCAATATTTTTATTTATTTTAAAGTAAAAATTCAATAATTTAATGTTATAAATGTATATAGTACGGCCGCTGAGTTATTACCGATTTGACAGATTATTCTTAAATTAATCGATATAACCTTGCACGAGCGACACATTTGCCGAATGATTTAGAATACCTCTTTAATATAAAACTTTATGTCAAAATGTCAGAATCAAGTAATTTTCCAATAAACTCTGTTTCAAAACTTAAAATAGTTTGTAAATAATATGAAAACATTTATTTTTTGTTCTTTGGCGCGCTTGTAGAAAGTTACATCGTGCGTCTAGTTTTCATAGTGATGTGCTTGATAGTATTCGGTCCGAATTCATTGGAATAGATATGATATTTATTTTATTTGGATATTTTTATTTTACTTATTCCTTCGAGCAACTAGACTATAATTCTTGCGTCTCCTAATTGCACTGTGTTGCCAGTATCTCTATGATTTTTAAGATTTATGTGTGATCCAAAGACAGAAATACTGTTTTCTATGATTTAAAAATAAATACAATTAAAATGATTATGTATAATTTTAAACATTCATAATATATAAAACAACATTTAATAAATATAATTTTCTCCCTCAATTAAGCAATGTTATAGGTGTATTTTTTTAAGTGATTGGCGATACTATTCTGGCAACACCCTTACTACCGCTATTTTAATCTGTTTAGTCGTCTTCCGTACTCTCGTGCGCACAGACTACGTTCTCTTGTGTAACCGTTGTTTTTTGACTCGGCTTTCTCCTATTTATCGTTGCGCTTTATTGGACTAATTTTGTTTGTGTTTGGTAATTTTGTTGAAAATGCCGAAACGAGGAAAAACATTGAATAGTCAAAGTCGTGAGCTTGTACTAAAGCTACAGGATTACTGTGAGCGTGAGTCACAAAATGGCGGACCTTTGATTCCTGTCACTCAAGTGAAAGATCGGGTTTCACAAGCTCTTGGAATTGGTGCAAAAACACTATATAATATAAATAAAGAAAAATTTGGTGCTTCTGGAAGTGAAGATAATGTTTTACGCACTCCTAAGAAAAAACGAAGACAAAAGCCCGTGACAGGTGTTGATGTTTTTGATGCAGATGCAATAAGAAACCACATATATGGTTATTATACTAGGAACGAGTTTCCAACTAGACGTTTGCTTTTGGTCTCTTTAAAAGAAGCTGGCTTGTTTAAAGGCGGTAAAACGGCGTTGTCATAACTATTGCACGAAATTGGGTTTGAATATAAAAAAACGAATAAAAGGAAAATATTAATGGAAAGATTTGATTTAATAATTAAAAGGAGCGAGTTTTTAAGAGAAGCCAGAAAAATCGAGTCTTGGGACAACGTCGTTTTTGTTGACGAAACATGGTTAAATGCGAACCACACTGTGTCACGCTCTTGGACTGACGAAACAAAAGCATCAACCTCAAAGGTTCCAATTGGAAAACGATCGCGACTGATAATTTGTCACGCCGGTTCTGCTGGAAGTGGTTTCTTTGAAAATGGACTGCTGGCTTTCGCGTCAAAAAGTACTTCCGATTACCACGAGGAGATGGATACAGACACTTTTACGAATTGGTTTGAAAATCAATTATTACCCAGCCTGCCAGAGCCTTCTATCATAATAATGGACAACGCTTCATATCACTCGAAACAAGTGAATAAAGCGCCTACTCAGGCCGACAAGAAAGCTGATCTCGTAGCATGGCTACACCAAAATGGAATTGAAACTACTGCCGAAATGCTAGTCTGACTTAGTAAAGTTGGTACGCGAAAATAAAACATCAAGAGTCCGTTATGAAGTAGATGATATAGCTCTAGCACATGGACATCGGGTACTTCGGATTCCGCCTTATCACTGCCAGTACAATGCCATTGAGCTAATATGGGCACAAATCAAAGGTATTGTTTTTTATCGCATAAGTTATGAATATGAATAATTTGTATTATTATAACATCCAATATTCAGCATATAAGTAAAAAGATACATAACTAAGAAATAAATATCTCATGTCCCTTACATGTAGGTAATTGTGTAACATTTCGTTTATTTAATGTAATAAATTAACGTTATTTAATGTTTACATTACAGGTTACGCAGCTCGTAATAATACGACTCCGCCATTCAGTACTAATAAAATGATGGGTCTATTAAAAGTTGCTTGCAGCAAAATAACGAAAGAAGATTGGGTCAAGGTCGTCGAAAAGACTCGAAAACTAATAACAGAAGATTATGAACGCGATATAAGAGTGGACACCATTATAGAGAATGAAATTGTCATACAAGTGACTGATAGCGATGACAGCTCTGGCGAATCTGGTTCAGAGTCTGAATAATTGTTTTAATAAATGATAGGTAGTCATTTATTAAAACATCTTGTACCTACTCTATTCATTAAAATGTGTAACAGTGTTTACAAATTTGTTTTATTTTGATATGTCCTCGACCAATTATCTACGCCCATCAAGGATACTCCACCTAATAAATAACCTGTGTCTTTAACTATTATTGTTTTGATTTTATTTAATTACACACTATACTAGAATATTTAAAAACAAACTGTTCCCAAATGATATTAGGGTTACTGGTTCAGTCACTTCACTAGTATTGTCAATTCGTCATGTGTCAAATCGGTAATAACTCAGCGGCCGGACTTTCGTGAGAAACTCCTCCAGCTTTGGATCAGTAAAACATTAAACAAAACAGAAATAGATAAAATAGAATCAAGAGAAGAACTAGAAATAAAAATAGAAGAGGTAACTAAAACAATAACTGAAGTAGCCGATAAACATATACCCAAATTGAAGAACAAAAAGCGAGTAGGATTGCCCTGGTGGACCGACGAGTTAACACAGTTTAAGAAGAAAGTCTCCAGGCTAAAACGTCGAATATCATGTGCAGCACCAATTCGTCGGGAATGGGTTGTAGAACAGTACCTCAGCGCAAAAGAGGAGTACCAGCGAGAAGTCAAGAGGGCCCAAACTTCAAGCTGGAAGGCATTCTGCAGCAAACAGGAGCGAGAATTAATGTGGGACGGGATCTATATAGTTATAGGCCGCACAAGCAAGAGGCAAGAAGACATTACCTTAATCGTTAATGACGTAACCATGGGAAACCAGGAATCAGCCAAGGTGCTAGCTGACATATTTTACCCAGAAGATGACACCAGGGGCGACAACATTGGACACAGACTAACGAGAGAAGCGGCGAATGGTGTAAATGAAGGGTCACATGATGACTCAAAGACCCACCTTTTACGATAGAGGAGTTGATGTGGTCTGTGTCAAGTTTTAACCCCAAAAAGGCACCAGGGAAGGACGGTCTCACGGCTGATATCTGTTTAAAATCTGTTTCTGTGGACCCGGCAATGTTTTTGGCAATAGCCAATAAATGTCTTAATCTGGCACACTTTCCAAAGAACTGGAAAGAGGCGGTTGTAGTGGTGCTGCGAAAGCCTGGGAAAGAGAACTACACGCACCCCAAATCCTATAGACCTATAGGACTGCTGCCTGTGCTCGGGAAAATCTTCGAAAAGATGCTGATACAAAGAATAAAATGGCATATTCTACCTAAACTTAGCCGGAGACAATACGGATTTATGCCGCAGCGTAGTACCGAAGACTCCCTCTATGACATGATGCAACTAATAAAAAGCAAGCTTAAAGACAAAAAGTTAATAGTATTAATATCTTTGGACATATAGGGAGCCTTCGATAACGCATGGTGGCCGGCAATCAGATGTAAATTAGCAGAATCTGGTTGCCCGATTAATCTGAGACGTCTCATAGACAGCTATTTCGAGGATAGAACCGTCAGCATCAGGTATGCAGGAGCAGAACACACGAAAACCACTGCTAAGGGGTGTTTGCAGGGCACAATAGGGGGTCCTATATTTTGGAACCTTTTGATCGACCCTCTATTACAGGAATTGAGCGAAAAAGGGGAATACTGCCAGGCTTTCGCAGACGACGTGGTCCTGATATTCTCCGGGGACATAGCACTTGAAGTGCAGGATCGGGCCAACGCGGCCCTCGCGCATGTTCAGAAGTGGGGAGTCAATATTAAACTCAAATTTGCACCAAACAAAACTAAAGCAATGGTAATAACAAAAAAGATAAAATACGACTCACCACTTCTGAAAATGGGTGAGGAGAGCATTGCGTTGGCCACAGAGATAAAAATATTGGGGCTTACTATAGACGCTAAGTTGACCTTCAACACACATGTAAAAAATGTGTGTTGCAAGGTACAAAGATTATACGGTCAATTAACAAGAGCCGCCAAAATTAGTTGGGGCATGAACCCGGAGATCATTAGGACCATCTACGTAGCGGTCACGGAGCCGATCATATTGTACGCGGCTAGTGTATGGGCATCGGCCACGTGCAAACAGAACGTCAAAAAGCAGCTCGACATGGCACAACGCGGGTTTGTTCAAAAGATAGTCAAGTCCTATAAAACCGTATCCCTCCACTCGGCCTTACTACTCGCTGGGCTGCTTCCCTTGGACCTCAGGGTTCGGGAAGCAGCCTTGCTTTATGAAGTAAAGAAAGGTTACTCCCAGCGAGTAGTAGGAGATCGGGACGTGGAACGGAAACTAGAATACACGAAGACACCTCACCCCGCGAATCAGGTTGGGCTGCAGTTTATATGCCTGGAGGATGGTGCACAAGTCGACCATTACGACAATAAAGGTCTGAAAATATTTACAGACGGAAGTAAAATTGAGGGGAAAGTCGGCGCTGCGTTATCCATTTGGAATGACGCAGCGGAGATAAGTAGCCGAAAATTTAAATTGGAAGACTTCTGCACTGTCTACCAGGCAGAGTTGCTGGCCATATATGAGGCAACAAATTATGCACTGAAAGATCCGGCACCGAGCTGCAACATCTATTGCTATATATATATTCAAGATCTGCTCTCCAAACTGTTGTACAAAGCGTTTACCTCCATCCCCTAGCGGCAAAAACTAGGAAAAATATTTTGGAAATTAACAAAAAAGGAAAATTACTCAAACTATTTTGGATTAAGGCACACGCAGGATTGGAGGGAAACGAGAGAGCAGATGAGTTAGCAAAAGAAGCCGCCTTAAAAATAAAACGTAAAGCGGATTACGGGAAATGCCCGATTTCATTCGTCAAGCGACAGATTCGTCTAGAGTCGCTTGACGAATGGAACCGACGCTACATGGAAGGCGAAACGGCCTCTATAACAAAGGTGTTTTTCCCGGACGCCCTGAGCGCCTATCTCATTATTAGAAAGTTACATATAGACCCGCTTACTGTGCAAGTGATGACAAGACATGGCGGGTTCTCTGAATACTTGCACCGATTCAAGTGTAAGGAGAGCCCGACATGCGCCTGTGATCCGATGAAAGTAGAAAGTATAATACACATTGTAACAGAGTGTCCAGTTTATGGTCAGGAGAGAAACGATATAGAAATGGAACTTCAAATAAAAATAAGTAAAGAAAACATATGTGAAATAATAAAAAACAAACATGTAAGAAATAGATTTTTAAAATTTTGTAAAGTTATAGCTAATAAGGTAGTACATAAGAATAAAAAATAGTATAAAAAGGGAACTGTAAATTATATATAGGCATATAATGTAAACAGTCCCGTTAAATTTGTAAGTAATTAAACTAAGGTAGATTAAGATAAAATGATAAGTAAAATGTACTAGCAAATAAGATATATGTAAAATATAAATAAGTACAATACTGTAAGAACTTATAAAAAAGAAAGTAAAAACGAAAAAAGCAAAAAAGACAAAACAAAAAATTAATAAAGAAAAGAAAAAGAAATGAAATACAAAATATAAAAAGAGGAAAAAAGTCCCTGATCTCCATGTTAGGGGGAACTAGATTGATGAAAAAAAAAACCTTTGACTTTGTATGTGATCCACTTTTCATCATCAGTGTTCAATCTTTTCATTGCATCGCGGGGTTGCACAAGCGTCAACCGCAGCCCCCATAACATACACGGGGTCAAAGTAAGAAGACTGGAGCCGTGTCGGGGGTAAAATTGTGACGACACGAGAAAAACGTGGGCGTTCTAAACGCCCTAATACGCCAGTAAATTAGGCTATTGAAAGCCAGGGCTAAGAAAAATCTGCCCAATCTAGAGGAGTTGGCCCGTGAAATGGCAACTCATAGAGACGGGGAGCACGGTCAACAAATCGACCTCAACCTTCAGCCCATTGAAAAGGTAGCAGATTGCTCCCGCAATCTAAAGGGCAATTTTGTGAAGGGTATAAACTGCCTTATTTAATATAAAGGCGGCAATTGAAGCACTTGCGCGAAGGAACGCTACCAGCGAGAACATCAAAAGACTAGAGAGAGAAAACACAATATTGTGATCACAGCTCGCCAGCCTTGCGTACAGAACCGAAAACTTAACAAAGGAGATTAATATTCTCCGTAAGCGACGCAAAAGGCGGATCCACCCAAAACAGCAAGTATGTCTAATCGACCTGTGCGAGTTCAATAAAAAATCTGGCATGGAGAGGATGACCTTATAGAGCGCATTGGATCCCTAATTGAGAGAAAGCTGGCTATCTTTGAGGTCAAGATATTTCCAGATATGGTTAACCGACCTCCATTGGCAGGTGTGAATAAGCCACAGCCACCGTCGCCGCAATTGTCAGCACCGCCACCCCAACTGTTGGAATCACAGGCAATACTGCAAGCCGCAGAAGGCTAAGAGACAAAGGGTGAAGAGGAAAAAAAAGAAGCCCGCCTTTCCACCGCTGGCTACTCTTCCCTCAGAAGCTGCACCAGTGTTGAATAATTCAGCACCGAATGTCAATTCGTGGGTGGAAGTTACTAAGAAGCTGAAAAAGCAAGGGCCACCCAAAAGCGGTCCAACACGACGGCGTCACCTTCCAGTACAAAAAAAGAAAGAAGTAACAAGAAAAGGATTTTGCGTGTACAGATTTCTGCGGCAGTAACAGTCACGGTGTTGGAACGTTCCTCCGTTATTTATGCTAAAGTAATGGAGGAAGCCAAAGTCAAAATCCATTCGGCTTACTTTGGCATCTAAACTGTTCGCCTTAAACGCGCAGTAACTGGGGGACTGCTGCTGGAGATCACTGGTCCGGACTGTGGCCACAAGGCGGACAAGCTGGCGGCAAAGTTCTCTCGGACCTGAACGTGCGAATTAGTCGTCCAATCAAAACAAGCGACGTTCAGCTGAGGGACCGCGACGTTGCCGTCAACGCTTAAGAAAATGCAGATGGCTGAAGCAGGAGGTTGTTCAGTAGACAACGTAACAGTCGGGGAGGTCCGCCGAACACCCACTAGCATGGAGACGTGCTGGATACTATGTCCCGTCGT